TTTTTCCTGTTTTCTTCTCTCTCTGAAATCAATAAAAACGTATTTAAAAACCCAAATAAATAAAACAGGTAAAACCCTTAAGACAAAGGTGTGTGTTGTTCCTCACACCTGTATGTTCCTTTCTCTCATTTCCTATCTTTGTTTCTCCTAAGCTCTAAAGGTCCCTGTCCCTGTGAGACTTGCAACGGGGGAGCAGTGGGCAGTGGTACCTCATCCGGGCTAGCTCCCTGAACCTGTCTCCAAGGGCCCTTGATCTTGTCTCTTCTATTTTAATCCCTGCCTTTGTTTCTCTCTGTGGATGAAAACAGGCCACATGCTAACCTGTCAAGGTTAAGGGTTGACAGAACCCAGGCTATAAGGTGAGACAGGGGGAAAAACGTGTGGCTGGTTTTTCAATTTGTTTTTCCAATTTGAATTGCTTTCCGAGAGTCTGACTCAGTGCCTTTGCTGTATAAATGAGAGCTGAACTAGTTCAGCTCCGAAGATAAGGGTCACATCCTCCCTCTAGCCTGAATCTCTAGTGCCTTAGGCGACTAAAAATCTTTGTGGAGGTGTCAGAGGTCATTCCTCACGACTTGTAGGGGCCCCACAGGGAACCTCCAACTCAACTTTAATTAAGGAATTGACTCATCCAAGGACACGCATATAAAGATGGGTCACCAAGCACGCGAGTCCTCAGGGCTGTATTAGGCAGCCAGGGAGAGAAACCGAGGCACATAAGAGGGTTGAATGCCACTCAAGGGCTGAGAGCCTCGAAGAGCTCAACCCATAAGCAGCACACTTTGACCCAGTACATAGTCTCCCTAGAGAATTTGCTCATACTGCCAGTGTTAAAAAAAAAAAAAAGCCACTACAATTTACATGGTAAATTGTGCCTCCATGGCCAGAAACTCCCAGACCCCAGCCCTCAATAATACTCCTGATAGGAATCCTATTACTGGCAAGCACTGTCACTAGAAATCTCATCTAAAAATGGCCATAATGCAGGAGTCTTTGGGTGCCTAAATTTAAAATAAAAACATGGGAAACCAAGATGGTGGCATAGGTAAACACCAAGGTTTGCTGCCTCAAACAACCACTTCAAAACTACAACTAAAAGACAGAATGGACATCACCCAGAACCACAGGAAGGCTGGCTGAGTGGAAATTCTACAACTAGAAGAAAAGAGAAAAGCATACCGAGACTCAGAGGAGGCGCAGTGCGGAAGGAAAATACTAAGGGACAAACCAATGGACATGGACAACAGGGGGATGGGAGCATGAGTGTGTGTGTCGGGGGGGTGGTTGGGGGTTAATGGAAGGGGCTGAGGACACATTTGTAATACCTTAATAATAATAAAAAAAGGAAAAAAAATACTAAGGTACAGAGGCGCTCACGGAGCAGGCTGGTAGCTGAGGGCGTGGTTGTCGTTTTCAATTGGGAGGGAGTCTCAGGTTCTGAGCTCCAGTTCCGGGCTAGTCTCTGGGGACCCAGACTCATACAGGAGAAGTGGAACTGTCTGGCATCGCTTTCTCTCGAGGGGCTTGCAGTGATTGCAAGACACTGAGAAGCAGGGCCTCTGAGAGCAGCCATAACTGCTAGCCCCGCCCTGTTGATCCCGTGGGACATGCCCCACCCAAGCCCTGCAGGGAAGCTTTTGCTGGATAGCTCAGGCAGAGGCTAGATTACCACCTCCTTAGAGATCCAGGAGCCAGTGTAACCAGAGGTCAGAGTGGGACCATTCAGTTTGCAGCTCCGTGGAACCATAAAGGACACACTCAGGGGGCAGACCCAGTGAGCACCAAAGCCCCATTGAAGCAAGTCTTGCCCCATAAGGGTGTCTCCAGCACAGAAGTTCTCCCACTGCAGACACAGCTGATTCTCACAGCCAATCGGCCTGGAGGTCAATTCCTCCCAGTGATAACTACAACAATCAAGGCTTAACTACAACAAGACTGTGCACAAAGCCCACAAGGGGGTGAACCAAGAGC